CATGTCTCTGGACCGGAGCAGAGTGTGTGTGCGGTGCGGTGGTTAGCGTGGCACAGCGCGAAACCAGACTTCTTTTTTTCCTCAATGGAAAGCTTTGAAGCGTTTGAAGCGTTCCCTGTCCCCTATATAGTGTGGCTTTGGACGGCGATTGCAGGGAGGGTGGGACGTTCGCTTTCAGTGCTATCAGGCTAAAGTTAGCATTTTCCAAGATCTCCTACTGCACCTTTAAGTGTGAACTGAATGCAATATCTTCTGACACTTAACTGTTTATTAATTGCAATTACACTGAAAATGCATTATAGTTTACATTTCAATGAAATGCAATTAGATGAACTTAATAGTGCTTTTGACCCACCCCAGTTGGACTTAATTACATCTTTAATATGTAATTGCATAAATCTATTGTCTTTGAAATATGGTTAACGTGTGCTGACGAATGTACTGATAAGTACTGTACTTATTATGGTAACTAAAATATACTTTTAAGTAATTTCAAACTTGTACATCATGTATTTAATATGTAATTACACTTTTGATTGAGCTGCTTTAATCTCCGCCCACAGCAGATCTATGTCTGTACTGCTGTCTACTATACCCTGTAGAAAAAAAAAAACATATATGAACACTGAAAAAAATTTCAAAGCAGTTATCATCTGCAATCAAAAACTGCAGGAGCTTCAGTAACTTCATTTGTCTTCAACATTTTTGCTCAGTCACTTTTAATCAACAATGTTTTGGTGCTTTTTAAGGCCAATTTACACCGCATAGACAAATGCCAACAAATATGTGCAATGTGAATTGGCCTTTAGTGGAGTTTTGTTGGTGAAATTTAAACTATTTGCATCAAATCAAATGACAATTTTGCATTCTTTGAAAACCATATCCCCACTGACGTCATCGAAGTTCGGTTTGAGAATTGTTCCCAGCATGCTTTGCTTGGGACTTAATGAGGAGAGTAAATAATTATGAAATTAATTATTTTATGTGTTTTTGAGAAAGATGAGAAAAGCGACATGATAGTGTTTAATGTTCAATTATGTTGCAATAAATAGAGCCATTTAAATGACACTGGATTACCATTGTGGAGAAGAGTGGAGCATTTGCTTAGGCTTTGGACTGGTACAGCTCATGTTATTACAGTTTTGCTGCAAAAAGTTTTTAACGCTTTGCATTTAGCATATTATGTATGTACTATTTCACATTTCTAGATAACTTGTTAGCTACTTAGTAGAGTTCTATAATAAATAAGACAAAAAGTGTACAAAATTTAATTAATCCTGTCAGAGAACCACATAAAATCATTTTGAGGCTACTTATTGGGTCACTTTTTCCAGCGTGCTTAATATGCACAACTTAGATTTGAATTTATCTGGATATTTGATTTAAAAATATGTAAAAATTTAAGCTAATCCAAAAAGATTTAGTGATAATTTGTGGTATGTAAAAATATATTTGGTTGAAAGTACATTTGTGACCCTGGACCACAAAACCAGTCATAAGGGTCAATTTTGTGAAATTGAGAGTTTTACATAATTTGAAAGCCGAATAAAATAGGACAATATTTGGCCGAGATACAACTATTTGAAAATCTGAGGGTGCAAAAAAATCTAAATATTGAGAAAATCGCCTTTAAAATTGTCCGAATTAAGTTCTTAGCAATGCATATTACTAACCAAAAATTAAGTTTTGATACATTTACGGTAGGAAATTTACAAAATATCTTCATGGAACATGACCTTTACTTAATATCCTAATGATTTTTGGCATAAAAGAAAAATCGATAATTTTATCGAAAAATTTAACCTATGTATTTTTGACTATTGCTACAAATATACCCCAGCGACTTAAGACTGGTTTTGTGCTCCAGGGTCACATTTTTAGTTGACTAAAGAAATTCGATTTGGTCAAACTTAAAATAAAATAAAAATAAAATAAAAAATAAACCGATTACTTGTAAGAAATTAAAGTTGTTTTTTTTTTACTTCGATCTGATTTAGGCAATTTCAAGCTTCAGTAACTTCATAAAGACAGACACTATGAAACTAATCCAATTTAATTAAGCGCTTTATTGCAAGTCTTCGGAGGACACTGGTTTTATATGATGAAGAGATTTAAGGCTTTTATTCACATATAAACATTGAACATACATAGAGCACATCAAACATGGTAAAGGGCAGTTCAGTTCAAGTTCGATTGAGCTCATTGTGTCTCTTCAGAAGACTTGATTCTTATGGATTACTTTTAAGACATTTTTATAAACTTTCTGAAGCTTGAACTTTCAATGACGGGACACTAAAATCTCTCATGTTTCATTAAAAATATCTTCAATTGTGTTTGGAAGATGAATGAAAGATCATTTTGAAACCAATTTTTTTATTTCTCTTTAAGTATGAACATGGTCCACATTTGATCCATGATCCATTTTGTTTTATAAATAACGCTTTGCTTGAAAAGTGTTTGACAAAATAAATGTCACTTTCAAATGTCAAATTCATATATTTTAAGTGGTTAGGCTTAAGTGTTCAAATCCTTTTGGCACCACTGTATACAACTTCAGTTTCATTTCAAGATTTCTTTAACAGATTACCAGTGCAGCAGAAAACAGGTGATATCTCCCCCCGGAAACTGCTGCCATTTGCTTCACAGTCTCCTATGACAGGACACATCAATCAGTGACAATAATGAAAAACATCTCACTATGTATTACATAAACACCAGTCTATGATCTCACAATGGCGTCCGGACTGCTGCAGTGAACAGGTGTTCGGTTTTAAATTAAAAAAATCACATATAATGTCTACTGTCTGATCAGGGCTGAAAATAAAAAAAATAGTCATCAAATAATCATTATATAAGGTTCCAATTATAATTTTGCATTAGTAACTCACACAGAGTGCAAACAGTTGACCACACATTTTCCTTGGTTTCAAATTGCTTTTCCTATTCATGAACTTACTATGATACAGAGTTCTGAGTCAAGACCCAAATTAAGCCACTGCATTACAACATTTTGTTTTGAAGCAAAAAACAGTTGAAAGAGAGTGTAAAGAGACTAGATTACATGATTTGCAATGCTTCATGGGAGTGTGCTGTTGGGCTTTTACAGACAAATATAGCAACCACTTAACAACCTCACAGTTCATAGTGGATCTGTCTTGAAAGCTCTACATGCTATCACTTAAAATCTATTTCTCTATGGAGAAAATGAGAAGGATTTCTGTTGCACTCTATTATGCTGGGAGAGGAAATAGGCCTAGGCTGCCATTTTTAAACCATCTCCTCAGACAGTACAAATTATAGCACTCAAACTATTTAAGGAAAATGGACTGCAAATATGTCTAAAGGCGGCTGCAAAAGTGAAGGAAATGAAATGGCTGCTGGCTCGAGTTAAGTTAAGAAACTGTGATTCATCACAGCAAGACAAACTCTCACCGAGAGCCGAGGATGATGAGTAGTGTGTCCAGTTCTGAGCGGGTCAGTGCCCTCTGTAGCGCCCGCAGGAGATCACAGCCTCCAGCCACCCGGAGCTGCGTGACCCACGCACAGCACTCCCTGAGCCTGAGACAGTATGCGTATCACTCACAGTGTCACTCACAAAGAGCCTCCTGATGCGGACTTTCAGCAAACTCATTACATGTGGCATAACTGTAGCTATATTCCAAAATCCAGTGAGCTGCTTTCGTAGGCATCATCATAAACGAGCTCCAGATATGAAGACCGTTTCAAAAGCTAGGTATTGTGTATTGTGTCAAATATTCTTTGTCTTGGCCATATAAGGAAGCATGCATCCTTTGTGGAGAACCCAATTTCATATTTTTTGGTACAAACTCAAAGGTACAAAATGAAGTGAGAAATAATGCTATCAAGTAATTAATTAATCATTATTAAAATTGTATAAAGAACAAGTTTCTACAAAAAATATGAAGCAGTACAATTAGTGGCGTAGCGTCTGTGTATGCAGGGTATGCAGGTGCATATGGGCCCAGCCCTTGTCCAACAGCTGTTGAGAATTCTCGGCCCGAGTCCGACTGGATACCGACTGGATACCGTGTCTTTTTTCTCTCTCTCTCTTCCCCATTACACAGCTATTAAAATAGTTCTGTTTTGGGTTTTTAATGGCAAAGTGGTCATATTTATTTTTGTTTCTTTATTAAGTTAATTTAGAAATATGTTTGGAACATTTTATGTTTGTTAAATTCAAGTTTTTGTTTTTTAAAGGAACGACCAAGCGGCAGCGGCAGACGGTGAGTTGAGCATTATGTTTGATCAATTTAGCCTTCTCAAACCAACACGACTTGCCTAAAATAAACAGACATAAAACATTTAACCTAGATAATGAGCGCTGTTAGGTGCATATCCAATTGTTTGTGTGGCAAGTGGAAGCTAAAGCGCGCTTTGCATGACATGGAGGCGCCAGCGCGATCACTTGCATTTATTTTTTTTATAACAGTGGAAACTTAAAAATACGCCAGCATTTTTGCTCATAAAGGTAAGAGTATACATCATTCGAAACTACAAAGGGTCTGTGTGCACTCACAATATCAACAAAACCTTGTGCTTTTGTAAAATAAGGAAAACAAACAGGATGCGCTTTCTGTCGTCTTGGTCTTGAGCAGGAACGCTTCACCGACATGATAAACATATCTATAGAATGCTTTAAATTACTATTTTAAAACGAAATAATTCAAATCGAAAACAAAAAATCTTTCATTATGTAATCCGTAAAGATGCATTTCTCTCTAAAGGCACGTCCAATGAGGATGGCTAGTCAACATTGACTCAGAAAACATTATTAATAATAACAATAATTCAAATATCCCC